AACTTTCTTTCTTATGACTATGTGAATAATGTTTTATCCAACATAAACCTAATTCTGAGTGATTCAACCAGCTATCTCCACCTATGTTTCCCATTTCGAACAGCCTGTCAGTATCGAAATTGTTCTCAACATCTGCTTAAAGTTGATAGCATGTAAGATACTCTATATCAATGCATTCATTATCATGTTTTATATTAAGGCATCTTTATTTCGGAAAAGTTTCTCACTCAGTATTGAACTCTCTGAAAAAAAAGTTAAGAAGCTTTCACCTAATCTATAACTATAACTGCCACTAACATTCGATGAGATTAGACAAGTGAGGAGATTTAAAAATTCTAAAACTAAAATTCCAACGTTGTCTTTTTTCTTCAGAAAGCGATTGTGAGAAGTTCGATGACAATGGGACACGTGAAGACCAACTGTTCACTAGTTTTAACCAGTCAGAGCCGCCTCCTCGCGTCACGAGAGCGGTCGATCTTTTATGTGAATGGCGCATTCCTTCCCGTCCTTCTTGACAACGACCTCGACTGCCTCACCAGAGAAAAACACCATTTTCCACTCGTATTCTTGATGGAGGCAGCTGAGCGATGCGAGCTCCACTCTGCGGTTTTTACAATGTTATCCGAGGATATTAGTGCAAACAAGCACTGGATTCCATTACAAAATGCGCCAATCCCCATACAGGCTGACGCGTTTAGTGCTCCACCTGACTCCCGCAGCTGTGTCTCTCGTTCCGCACTCTTTTTGCCCGTCACTGCCCTCTCCAGTCGATTTCATGCTCGTGACTCCCTGTTACTTTAAGTTCATTTCTGCCGACATTCGGTGACATTCTGCTTTATTTCTTCTTTATTCAGTAAATTATCTTGTGGAGTTTTTGCTGTTCTACAATCTATTGCTTCATTCTGATCAAGACCACAGCAGTGCTGCGCCCCACGATGCAGTTGTCTTGTGTCTTGCCATAATTGCTCTACACTATCTCCTTTCTCTGTCATGCATTGTTTTTCCTTAGGACCATGTCTCGGCTTGATATCGACGTTCTAATGACATCAGTCTGCGGATCTTTGATAATGAACTATGAACTGTTATAATAGGAACTTCCTCTTCAAAACAATTTTGTTTTTGCGGAATGATTCTATACAATGAGCACATCAAAGTCCATTTTACTCAATGTTTTGTTGACCTTAATTGTGAAGACTTTATGAGTAAGTTGGGAATTTTGATTCCTGAATTTCAGAATGTCTGTTACAAGAAACAGGCGTATATCCCTGGGCTCACCCAAGGATTTGAAGGAAGTGAAATTTTTCGACGAAGAGCCGATGCCCGACGTCCCTCCAAAAGGAGCACGAGTTAAGGTAAGTAAACTGCTACTTGCTCTTTTTCATGATTTTTGTCTACCATACTTTCATTAAAATGTGTGGAGGATATACACCTCTAACCGGACTTGCTCGAGAACTATTCTCTTTTATTCGCTGTGATACATCGTTTAGAGAAAATGGGCCTTGTGATTAGGAAATTGAGATTCAGATTCAT